TAGGAGTGTTAACAAACGACTTACCTTTAAGACATGTTTCTGCAGTCTTTTGGAGTCCTTGAAGTTTTTTGAGTGTGACTTCTTCCTTATTCATGTGGTATGTCATACGGAATTGATCATAACACGAGGGTAAGGAGTGCAAAATAATATCTATTACTAGCTCCTCGGGGAAGTTCACATTAAGCTTCAGCAAACGATCCACATACCTTTGCATTTTCTACATGTGGCTCATGCCGAAATCTCCATCCTTCATCCTGGTTGTTATCATGGAGGAGATTATTTAATATCGCTCTTGATGAACACTTTGATGGTATCTTTCCATCATATCTTGGTGCATCTCAAAAGGGTAATAGTCCTCATAGCACTTCTAGAGTTCAGTTGTCATGATGGCCATCATGATGCATGCCACTTTGGTGGCATCTCTTTCATGAGTTCGGAAGTCAGCGATCTCCTGGGGAGTAGCAGTGGACTCATCAATCTGCTTTGGCTCCTTATTGAGGACATATTCCTTGTCCTTGTAGCGAGTCACCATACTGATGTTCCAGATCCCATCCATGAAGTTGGAACCATCGAAAATGACCCTCCCACATAGGTTAATGAGGGAAAAGTAGCCAATATGCTTTGAGCCAGAAGCAATGTTGCTGGAAGACATCTGAAAAAGAAGAGAACAAGTTTATTTTAGATATAAAGATAGTCCTTAATAAAACACCCAAATGTAATATTAAGGCTAGGATCCAATGATAATATATTATAACTTAGAAGAGGGATGCCGTAATCTAAGCTATAACATATTTGAAAGGTAGGTGAACGACGATTCACCAATTTCCACCAAAAAAAAACCGAAATATGAATTATTAGGTTTTAATTGGTTCTTAGAAATTCCTAGATTCTTTTGAGATTCAATGAACTTTTCAAAGGTATGTTTGAATCTCGAGTGTGTCCTCCAAGTTTTGTGATTGGGATACTGCGGATCACAAAACGAGGTATGAAGTAACCATGCAAATTACTTGGTACCCTTAAAGTTTATCACTCAATCGATGTGACGGTTAAGCACATGCGCTCCACCACCCTATAATAAACCTTAAGTCACCATTTACCTACCTTGTTAAGTCCAAGTTAGTGCGCCGGTTAACTACACATGCTCCATTAACGACTTAAACAAAGTTTAAAGTGTTTAAAGTGTAATTTCATGGATTAGCACCTTATTCACATTTTCCTAAAGTAACTAAGATTCAGAATTTAATAAAATATTTAGTTACTTTATAATATTCATCATACTTTTAATGAGAATTTTTTAAGTCCTTGTCCTACCCGTTCGGCTAATGACCCTCCACCAATCAAGGAAGCGGTGGGTGAGAGTGGACACTCATTAAGCTGCCATTTTATAGGCAGCAACCTTATGACCCTCTTATAGACCGACTTCATGAATGAGGCCTACTAATGGTAAGACGACTTGCTCTTATATATATATATATATATATATATATATATATATATATATATATATATATATATATATATATATATATATATATATATATATATATATATATTATTATTATTAACTTATAATATTATAAAGTATAAGGATTGATTTTTAAATTTTTAAAATATAGGGGTTGGAACTAAATTTTATTAGATGACTTTACATGTTCCAAAACTTGAGGTCAGGTTTTATAACTTAGCAAAACTCTTCAATTCATAACTTATGAGTTATTAAAATGAAGACTCTTGATTTTTGTAACTTATGTGCTCTTTTAATGGGTTTAAAACAAAGAGACTTTTGGTTATCCATAACTTGAGGACAAGTTATGGACTCCATTAAAACACATAATGATCATGAATTAAGCATTAATCAAGTAATTCCTATGATCTATCAAGAACTCATAAGAACATGAATATTCATATCAAAATTTCAAGAACATATGAACACATATAATCATGTAATTTTGATATTAGTCATTGTAAATGGATTAGAACAACCATTACACCATCTAAAATAAGTTTTGAAACACCAAAACAGTTTAGGTTAATGTTCCTAGTCCATTTCCAGTAGCAAAAATCGAAATTATGCACTCTGCCTGGCCAACTTGTTGAGTGCACGAACTGACTCGCCTAGTTGGATGTAGTTTCACTTGGACTCTTTGAGTCCCCTGTGTAGACATCTCATAAAAACAATTTTTACACTATTTTGCATCACGTATTAACAAACAAGCCTAGGCTCTGATAACACTGATGGGTTATGAGCATTCTAACACCCCTAAGTGTACATGCAACCCTAGAAAACCTTAGATCTATGTTTGTCTAAACTACATGCAATATATGATTTCCACGGTTCATAATCCTATCTAGAATACGTTGGGAATTTTTATTATAAAAGATTGCTAGAATTACATACCTTGTAGTTGATTTGATTCCTTGAAAAACCTTGAGAGCCTAGCACCCCAAGTGTGATGCCTCAAATGTTTCACACAACACCAAATTCTCTTGGAATAAACTTTAAGAGAGAATGTCACACTTAGAAATCAGCTTGCCCTCTATATTGCATCTAGTTGTCGATTTTAGTGAGCTTCATATTCTTTATATAGTGTGTTACATATAGGGTTACACCATGTAAACCCTAACGTGACATGACTCCTCATTTCCATGACACATGGGTTTGTAACTCCCATGGAGCATCCTATGGACCTTAGCCTAACTTGATAATCCATGGAGCATCTAGTCCACTATACAAGTATGGATGATTTACATAATCAACCCATATATTTAATTAGTCATCTTTTGATCACTTAATTAATTATTGATCAATACTAATTAAATAATATTATTAATATATTAGAACTTATAATATATTAATAAACAACAAGTTTTATTTCTCTCATTTTAGTTTATCCAAATGCATGATGCCATGCAACGCAAATGGACCATCTCAGGTCGGGTCAAGTACATAACAAATATAGTTATGGACTTAGACACCTTATCCAACATAATCAACTACTCGAAGATTTTTGAACCATTAGAACTTCTATACATTGACTTGTGTGGACCCTTGACTATTGAGTCAATCAATGGGAAGATGTACATACTTGTCATAATAGATGATTTTTTATGCTTCACTTGGGTTCATTTTCTTATATAGAAATTTGAGATTGCTCAAGTGATGATTAATTTCATCAAAAGCATTGAAATGATTTTAAAGAAGAAAATCCATCAAATTAAAAGTACTAATGGAATAGAATTCAAGATTTAACTGCTCGATTCATTCTTGACAAATCTTGAAATTTCGCATAATTTTTCATCTCCTTACACACCATAACAAAATGGTGTTGTCGAAATGAGAAATCAATATTGGTATGAAGCTACTAGAACAATGCTCACTTACGCCAATTTACCTCAATATTTTTAGGCAGGAACAATATCTACGACTTGTTTCACTCAAAATCATTCTTTCATTCATTGAATATTTAACGTCACACCTTATGAAATCATTCACATAAAGAAACCTAATGTCAAAATTTTCCATGTTTTTGGTTGTTGGTGCTTAATTATGAATCACAAAGGAAATCTTTTGAAGTTTCAGATGAAGGTTGATGAAGGAATCTTTTTTTGGATATTCCCAAAATTTTGTATCAATAGTGCCATGAACAAACGAATGCAAAGAGTTGAAAGTTTCAATTTAACATTTGATGATTACTATGTTAAAAGAGATGAACATGGATTTCCACAAAAACCAAATCTTTCTAATTCTAATAAGGATTATGAACAAATGTTGACATTTAATATTGACTTTAATTTGCTTTTTGGTATTCTCGACAGAGAAATTGATGCTGAGGTTAATATCAAATAAAATCAAGTACCCGAAGAATCCAAGCATTCCGGTGACTCAACAATCACTGATGGACAAACAGATGGATATTCATCTTCTACACCAAGATCTAATTTTGAAAAAGGTCAAACTTCAACATCTGGTCAAGTTGAGCGGGAGAACTCGATAACACTAAGTCAAGTCGAGGGGAGCCATTACCATCGAATGGTGATGTTGAGAGGGAGCAACACATAACGAATCCATGTGTTCAGGGGGAGCCAAATCAAGCACATATCAAAGATGATAACAAAATTCTAGGTAATTCAAATGATGGAATTATTGCTAATTTATCTATTCTAGAACAATTTTAAGATTGAAGAAACATTTGAGGATCCTTATTTGGATTTTGATCTGTTATTTCCTCCAACGGAGAAATGGACATGTAATCATCCCAAAGAACAAATTATTGGTAATCCTAATTCAAGTGTGTAAACAATAGCACATGTTAGAGCAAGAAATATACTTCTTAATGTTCACCAAGAATTTTGCATGTTCAATGTTTTTATTTCTAAACTTGAACCAAAAACAATCTAGACTGTATTGGAACATCCAAATTGGGTTGTTTCAATGCAATATGGTTGGTTTACATGGATTTTCAAAAATAAAGTTGATAAAGAAGGAAATGTGGTTCGCAATAAAGAAACCATTGATCCTTTTGCAAGACTCAAAGTAGTGCGGTTCTTTCATGCTTGTGCAGCTTGCAAGGGCTTCGATGTGTACCAAATGGACATAAAGTGTACATTCCTCAATGACGTACTAGAAAAGACTGTCTAGGTTCAGCAACTACCTAGATTTGTAAATGATTTGTTTCGTAATCATTTTTATATCCTTGAGAAAGTTGTTTATGGGTAAAAATATGATGTACATCATGGCAACCCCCAAAACTCACAAATCAAAAAAAAATATATCTCATGAATCCGGGTGTTACAAATTCAATCTTTTTGATCCCGTGAATTTACGCAAGAACCCTAACACTATTTTCCGATCAACATCAAAATTCCCTCAATCGATCATCATGTCTACTGTAATACCTCTATCGATCACGTCAACACAACTAAAGACGAAGTTTTTTTTGTCTAATATGAAGATTTAAGGTTTAATTTGTTGTTATCTACGGACCCTGGAATAGTTGAAGATGCTTGGTCAATGTTTGAATGATTCGATTCCTACTTATGTTTTGACTTCCTCCTTTTCTATTCCGACGAATTGGCCATTGCTCGCAGGTTATACGACTGTAGTCAATAATACGAATGAAGTTATTAGATTCCTAATGGAATTAAATGGCAACAAATGATTGAACAATAATCATTTTTCCCAAATTCTTCAATTATCTTATGAATTTTTGTTTTAAGTTCACACGTCTAAACAAGTACTTCAAATGTTTAAGGAAATGGGATATAATCCTCAAATATCTCTGGTTAGTACCTTTAACAAGTCCAATCTTCCAAATGTGTGGAAATTTTTCTTTGGTACTACTCTTTGTTGCTTGACTGGAAGGAGTTGCGGTATGGATATGGAAAAACTTCAATTCTATTATGTTTTTTCTAGTCTATATTATGGGATGAAGGTTGAGTATGCTTCGTTATTTTGAGATGAGTTTACCACGTCTATCAAACACAAGAGAAAACTACTGAGATTGCCAATGCTCACTTTTAGAGTCTAATTTTGCATGAAGCATAGAGTCAAGCTGGAATTATAGTTCCTAAATGTGTTGAGTTTGCATAATTCTCACATATTAATATTCCTAATGCTCAAATTGATGATCATGTGGTATTTGTTGTTGTTGGAAGGATTCCAAATGCAACGCTCCAACTGGTGTACGATTCAAATCATTTATTGATTCAATACAAAGCATCCATTTTTCTTACTTCATCTGATCCTATTCCAAAGAAAGTGGACATTTATGGTGATAAAGGGAGCATCTAAATATTCTGATGTTGTGAAGATGAAGTCCACATCGAAGCCAAAAGTAAATGTTGATAAACTTGTTTCTGAGAACTCAGTAAAAAGTGCTTCTTAGAAGGCCATAAAAGGTGCTCTTGAGAAGGTGTTTAAGAGATTTGTTAAAGATACTCCTGAGATAGTTCTTAAGAAATCAGAAAAGTTGAAGTTAAAGTCTATGTCTTGTGGTGTTGTGATTATGGACGTTTCGAATGAGAAGGATCAAAAATACAAGAAATGCAAACCTATTGGTCTGTTGAAACAATTTAAGAAGCTTAGGGCTCAAACAATCAAAGAACCTTTTACCACAACAAAGCCAACACCTAATGTTTTCAAAGTTGATCAAGATAGCAAAGAAATAGATGATAAAGTTATTAAACCTAAAAATCTAACGAGGAATGTTTCACCAAGAGAGGTTGCCAATGTCAAATCAAATGCTTAGGATATAAGAAATCAAGATGTCACTGTAAACACATCTAATGTGGATACAAACATCTAAACACATGAACCAATTTCGAATTTGCTTCCTATGTAGACAAGTGCTATTGCACCTGAAGTTCCTAATTCCAAGTCCAATACGAAGTAGGATAGGTATTTAAATATCCCTAAGAAATTATCTAATAAGGACTCAAATGTTAATAAGGGTGAGGATCCTTCAAAATTTATTCATGTCTCATCAAATATTTTACCACCACCTTCGTCACCACAACCATAATCAATCTTAATACCTACTTCTGTTCCTCTCAATTATCCTATGTTTGACCATATCTTGAAGCTACCTTTTAAAACATTATTCTCTTCTCAATCCACTAATCATGACATGTCAAATTCCAAAGAAGATGAACATGTTGAATTTGATGAGTTAGAATTTTATTCAGAGGAGGAAGACATGGAAGATCATGCAATAATTTCAAGCAAACAATACAAGATTTTGAATTCAAAACTAAACACTATACTTCAGTTCTAGAATGATTTATCTGCTTTTAGACCATCATCAGTAACTAAAGATGATGTTGAATTTCTATTCAAAGGCGAAGAATCAAAGATGAAGAATCTTATCAGCACTGTTGTATCACAACTGGAGACTCGTATGATTGGCAAGATATTTTCATATAAGTTTGAAATAAAAGAATTTCAAAATGTTGCTCGTAAGTGACATAAAATTATTGAGAAGTTGGTGAACTCTTCAAAAGAATATCTAGAGTTCATGATCACAGAGTTGGTTCTGGTTACTAAAGAATTTTCGAATCTTGACAAATTCTGCAATGGAATTAGGAAGAATGTCAAAGTTCTTCTTGGGGCAAGAAGAACATTAATTGGAGATGTTCGTGAGTTTAATATGGAGTATGCTAAAGATTTGAAGCCTAAAAACGAATCTGATGGCAAAAATTTTACGAACATTGGGAGATCTCTTACGATTATTGTTAATCATTTATCGAAGTTTGATATTCCAGCAAGAAATTCAATTTCTCAAGATCAAATCTCGGATGTTATTGCTTATGTGGACTCGAGTTTAAAATCTCAACTTGCTCTAATTTTGTATCATTTTCTTTGATTACCCACTAATTCTCCATGCACATCCATGATCATGTCACATGGGGACAAAAGGGTGCTTAATCCAACGATGGGGATGAAGGCAAAGGTAAAGTAGGTGGGAAGGTTATCACTACAGAAATTTCAATTTCAATCTCAAGGAAATGTATTTTGACATCTTTGAGAATATCCGTAACTCCAAATGTCGAAGTTGATATGTCAAAGCTTCAATCAAAGAAGGCCCTGAACATAAATGATGGGGGATCAAGTTCTTCGACATTCAAACCTGATGCAAATTCCGAATCAAAAGGGAAAGGAATTTTTTTTTTCAAGTGGGGCCTACAAACAGAGGAGACAAAGAATCTTCAAGATCTTGAGATTAAAAGAATAAAGCAGCTGAATACCATCATGAGAATGAGAGCGAATGGCCCACCTAGTCTTAATAAGGTGGATCCTAATAAGGTGTGGTGTTACTAAACAACTGAAAATGTGGCTTATGGTGAATTATATGATTTTTATATAAGAGCAATAAAAATCTATGCCATCTAAGACTCAGATTTTAATTAGTTAGACTTTCCGATCAATCATTCCATATTCACCTTTGCTCAGTTCAAGTTGGCTGACAGTTTTTCTGATACTAAGGAATTTAAAAGGATGAATATTTGTTTTCATTTTGTTCTTTGTAAGAAAGAATAAGATGTTGGGTCCTTATTTAAATATGTCAAACTGATATTGATAACTACTGATTCTATGTTCGAAGGAGTATTGCAAAACAATCGATATATTGATGTTAGGGAATACAGTGTTTTGTTCGACTTCACCATTGATGACTTTCTCTTAATGAATTTGAATGATCTAATCACTATTATGAAGATTATGGAAAACTTGGGTAACAACAAAGTTAAATAAAAAAATTTGTACATCATTGGGTATATTCACATCAATGGCTTATTAGATTGTTATTTAGCTCATCTAGCATTAACAGATTATGAGTTCACCACTGCCTTCAACAAAAATTCAAAGGTTCCCAAGTCACTATTAAAATTAAAAATCAATGTTGATGATTATAAAAATGGAGAAATCATTAATGAACCATTAGGAGTTGTATTTCGTGGAAAGAATGTGAAGGGTGGGAAAAAGAAATTCTTCTTCCGTACTGACGATGTAGAAAGAGATTCAAACTAGAATCTTCCTAATCTCCTTCTTTTTATCAATAATTGCAAGAAGAAATCAAATGAGGATAAAGAGGAGATTAGGATGATCGTCGTTTGGTACATGGAGATTAGAAGAGTGCTGCTACACAAGTGATAAAGACACTACTCACTGTCTGAAGATTCGGTATTGATGAAAAAAGGGAAGATTGTAGAGTCATATATGTTGTGATATATCGAAGCCTTAGGTAGTTGTCTTAGTATCTAAGTATTTGTAAATATCGAAGGTATTCATGACTTCGATGTGTATGTATTTTATCAGGTGCATTTATAGATTCCAATTTAATGTCGATGTCTTGGTATACATTTTGTGTCCGTCGAATATAGTATACACAGTGTAGGTACTTAGTTCATTTGATATCTTTTAAGCAACTTGTTCACTCTTGAATGTATTTATACCATCGCTGCAATTATTTGAGTAGAAACAAGATATTATTTACATTTGGTGTACATTTGAACTTTAATTTCCTTTTACAATTGATTAAAACATATTACAGATCCAAACCTTGCATCTTTCTTGGGTATAGTGCAACATATAAAGGTTACATATGTTATCATCAAGAAACTACTTGTGTATACATCTCTGGGCATGTAGTTTTTAATGAAGAAATATTGCCATATACATCTTCTTCATCTATACAAAATGCATCCATACCAGAACATCCTATCACCACACCTACTATCATTGCAACCATTAACACTACTCAACCTTCAACTCAAAACCCTTCTCTCATACCCTCTACCCCACTCCACCATGCACACCATTAGAACCACCCTCCAAGACACAAATTTCTAAGAATTCACCATCTAAAACCTATATCCATCAACAATGAACTCAATGTACATGCTATCAAAACTCCACTATGTCTTCTCATACTCAACAAAACCCATCCATAAGTACACATTACCAACCAGCTAAATAAAATCAACATTCCATGATAAAGTGTGCTCGTATAAACTCCTTTAAACCGAAAAAACTTATTGGACCACAATATCACCAAAACAAAATATTGAACCTAACACCTATTCCCAAGCAATTAAGCACATATGTTGGCAAGATGAGATGAAAGCAAAATATGACGATCTCATTAAAAATAACACATGGTAACTTATCACATGTCTTACTAACGCTAATGTTTCTGGTTGTAAGTGGATCTTCAGGATAAACAGACGTTCTGATGGCACTATTGATGGATATAAAGCTCAGTTAGTGGCTCAATGGATTAGTTAGGAAGTAGAGGATGACTATTTCGACAACTTCATCCCAGTGATAAAACCAATAACAATCCTCTTATTCCATTCTCTTGATCTCTCCCAAGGATGGCAAATTTGAAAATAGGACATAAACAATGCGTTTCTTGATGGTGATTTATCATAAAAAGCTTTTATGAGGCAACCAAAAGGACATAAACAACCCTCATATTGTGTGTCAATTGAAGAAATCACTCTATTGCCAAAAACAGACACTAAGAGCATGGTTTACCAAACTCGAAACTCGTTAAACACGATTCCGTGCTAGTCAATATAACACTTCCCTATTGTTCATATTTCTTCTACATCTACTAGATATGTTCTTGTATATTTAGATGATTTTATTGTTACTGGAACAAGTGACAATCATCTTCACAAGTTTATCACAGATTTTTACACGGTATTCTCACTCAAAGATCTTGGTGGCTTACATTTCTTTTTAGGCTTACAAATTAATCAATACAAATAGGGCATCACCTTCTCACGACAAGGATAAGATGTTCTAAGTCGAAGCAACATCTCTATGGCGTCTCCTATATCCACTCCATCTGATCCAGATAGTCATCTTTACAAACATGGATATCTCTTTGCTGATCCTAACATTATATCGACAAGTTGTTGGTTCTCTTCAATATGCTACCATCACCCGTCCCAGCATAGCATACTTTTTCAATTGTGTTTGTCAGTTTATGCACTTTCTAACAAATCACCATCAACAGGTTGTCAAGCGTATCCATTGTTATCTAAAAGGCACTATAAATTATTGTCTACACTTCAAACCAACAAATGCAAACGTCCTTCATGCTTTCTCTGACTCAGGATGGAATTCTGATCTTGATGACAATCAATCCCAATGTGGATTCGCTATCTTCCATGGTCCAAATATCATTAGTTGGACACGAAGAAAATAAAAAGTTATTGCTCGTTCAAGTATCGAAGTCGAGTATTCCTCTCTAGCCAATACTACAATGAAGTTGATGTGGCTAAAACAATTGATTGCTAACCTTAAAGATCCAATCACAACTACCACTTCTATTGTGTGGCAACATTGGTGCCATATTCCTAATCGAGAATCATGTCATCACCACACGTTCCAAACACATTGCGCTGGATTTTCATTTTATTTTGGAAAAAGTGGAAGTTGGACTATTAAATATCCGTTATGTGTCATGTGTGCATCAATTTGCGAATATTTTGAAAAAAAAAACATTAGGTAAAAATAGAGTCTATTTTCTTCAATCTAAGCTTCAAGTTCACCCTGCTCTTTAGCTTGCTGGGTGGTAATAACAATTAATAATAATAGTATGACATTCAATGCAAATGTGCCAGTAAATATAAATGTAAAACATGTAAAAGTGATGTAGTAAAATGGTCAAGGATCTAGATAGTCATAGTTATATAATATGAACAAATATCTCAATTCTAGTTCTTATATCATGAATATAAA